GTAGCTGTGGCAATTTCTTAACATAAGACAACAATGAAGTCTGCTGCATCGATTAACTCTTCCTTTTATGAAAGGTTTCTCTGTAGCACGCAATGCTGTTTGGCATTTTATTCATAGTAAAACTTCTTTCAAAATTGGAGTCAATTCTCCAATTGAGAATTGCTGCTTTTTATCAACTAAGTTTATGGAATATTTTAAATTCTTTGCTGTCATTTCAACAATGTTGACAGCATCTTCACCAGGAGCATATTCCATTTCCAGAAACCACCTTCTTTGCTCATCCATAAGAAGCAACTCCTCAGTCGTCTGAGTTTTATCATGAAATTGAAACAATTCGGTCGCACCTTCAGGCTCTACTTCTAATTCTAGTTCTCCTTCTATTTCCACTACATCTGAGTTACTTCCTCCACTGAAGTACTGAACCCCTTAAAGTCATCCAGGAAGATTGGAATCTACTTCTTCCAAACACCTGTTATTGTTGATATTTTGACCTCCTCCCATGAATCACAAATATTTTTAATGGCACCTAGAATGGTGAATCCTTTCCAGAAGGTTTTCCATTGACTTTGCCCAGATTCATCATAGGAATCACTATCCATGGCAATTATAGCTTTAGGAAATGTATTTCTTAAATTAAATAAGACTTGCAAGTCAAAATTACTTGATTCATGAGCTATAGAATGGATGTTGTGTCAGCAGGCATGAAAACAACATTAACCTCCCTGTACATCTCCATCAGAGCTTTCGGGTGACTAGGTGCATTGTCCATGAGCAGTAATATCTGGAAAAGAATCTTTTTCTGAGGAGTATGTCTCAGCAGTGGGCTTAAAATATTCCGTAAACTATGCTGTAAACAGATGTGCTGTCATCCAGGCTTTCTCGTTCCATTTATAGAGCACAGGCAGAGTTGATACAGCATAATTCTTAAGGGCCCTAGGATTTTTGGAATGGTAAATGAGCACTGGCTTCAGTTAAAGTCAATCACTGCATTAGCCTCTAACAAGATAGTCAGTCTTAACCATCCTTTTCTTGGGGTAGCACTACTGTCCAATGAACAAATAGTGAGGGCAGTACTGTTAACGCAAAAGAATAGTAATAATTAAGAAAAAAAAAAGAAAGAAAAACAAGAGAGTCAGTCTGTCCTTTGAAGATTTAAAGCCAAGCATTGCCTTCTCCTTTCTACTTATGAAAGTCCTAGATGGCATCTTATTCCAATAGAAAGTTGTTGCATTTTCACTGAAAATCTGTTATAGTGTAACCACCTTCATCAATTATTTTAGCTACATCTTCTAGATAACTTGTTGCAGCTTCTACATCAGCACTTGCTGTTTCACCTTGCACCTTTATGTTATGGAGACAGCTTCTTTCCCTAAACCTCAGGAACCAAACTTTGCTAGCTTCAAACTTTTCTTCTGGAGCTTCCTCACCTCTCTCAGCCTTCATAGAATTAAAGAGCGTTAAGGGCCTTTCTCTGGACTAGGCTTTGGCCTAAGGGAATGTTGTGCCTGGTTTGATCTGTTATCCAGAACTAAAACTTTCTCCCTATTAGCAGTAAGGCTGTTTCGCCTTCTTATCACTCATGTTCACTGGAGTAGCACTTTTAATTTCTTTCAAGAACTTTTCCTTTGCATTCAAAATGTGGCCGTTTGGCACAAGAGGCCTAGCTATTGGCCTACATGCCTTCTTCACTAAGCACTTTTTCCCCCTCAGGAGATGGGGTCTTGTGCTGTCGCCCAGGCTAGAGTGCAATGGTGCGATTATAGCTCACTGCAGCCTTGAAATCCTGAGCTCAAGAGATCCTCCCACCTCAACCTTACAAGTAGATAGGACCAGAGGTGCATACCACCATGCCCAGCTCCTCACTAAGCTTAATTATTCCTAGCTTTTGATTTAAAGTGAGGGACATGCTACTCTTCCTTTTACTTCCGTATTTAGATGCCATTGTAGGGCTATTAATTGGTCTAATTTCAATATTACTGTGTCTTAGGGAATAAGGAGGCCTGAGGAAAGGGAGAGAGACAGCGGAATGGCTGATGGGTAGAGCAGTCAGAATACATAATAACATTTATCAGTTAAGTTCACCATCTTATATGGATGCAGTTGGTGGTGCCCCCAAAACAACTGCAACAGTAACATCAAAGATCACTCATCACAGATCACCATAATAGGTACAATAATAATAATTAAAGAGTTTGAAATATTGAGAATTATCAAAATGTGACACAGACACACAAAGTGAGCGTGTGCTGTTAGAAAAATGGTGCTGACAGACTGCTTAACACAGGCTCACCACAAATCTTGAATTTGTAACAAATGCAGTATATGCAAAGTACAATAAAGCAAAGCACAATAAAATGAGGTATGCCTGTATCTTAGCTAAAAGAAACACTGAGATTTGAGACTGGAGCTAAGT